CACGTGTGGAGTAACAGGTAAGGATGTACCTCACTGACAATGCTGCTGTAACGTCGCCGGGTAGTTTATAAACAACACCAACAGACATCTGACTCATGGTTTTACATAAGTTTACATATCTAAAGATTACGTTTAACAGGCATTTACGTACCATATGCTATTGCTACAACTAATCGTTTAAAACCTTTAAATTGTTGCTTAAAGCCCGTTTTCTCTTCCAAACTAGTGGAAATGCACGCTATTAGCATATCGTCACCAAAACACGCGTCTCTCATTGGTGCACACATCAATCACGATTTTAGCCCAAATAGGGCCCTCCGATTCATGTTATTCTCTACATGTGCGGTTTACTACGGGAAATACTTGTACAGAAGTTAACGTTGCAGCTGTGGAGCGTTTTGGGATTGAAATAACTATAGAAAACAACAACGCGGAACCGGAAAGTGTCGCGTCATAAAGAAGAGACGAAATCAAATGGCCTCCGGCAGCCTCCAGATTCACTTTTTTAACACCAGTTCAAACGTTAAGACAGGGTCACGTTGCATTATAACAATTTATTAGTCGCTGTTTATCACAATAATAAAATACTATGATGACTTTTGACTTGTTTTGCGTCATCATCATAACACGCATGCGCAGTTCTTGTAGCCACATAGCAACATGTAGCGGGAGCAAAGCGTCATTCGAAACCCCATTTTGCCAAATTCATCTACTTTATACACTGCAAAAACCCAGGTGAAGTCAATGTAGAACGCAGACTGATTGAATTAAAGCACAAATTTAAACATGCATTCATGGTAAATATAAAGCCACTGCTCGGTTTCCTTATAAGCTTAGTAAATGTCACCATGCTGCAAACTTTGAACACGTTCCCGGTTTGTCCGGTAGGTGGTGCTAATGAGCCTCATTGGCAGGGCCGCGCTTCGATTCCAGATAAAGAAACTCTATATTTTACGAACAAAAAACTAATGACAATTGAAAAAATTTAATAGAAAAACGGGGTAGAATTACCTTGTTGCAGTCTTCTAACTTTTCCCATTAGTTGTTCTACTGTAGGCTCCCGTAATTCTCCATCTGACACGCAAAACAGCACAGATACATTAAATATTTGAAGAAGTGATTTATCTAATGGATGGACTGGATTACCTTCTCTCACAGGTGTAGAATTAATCATTTCCTCAATGTTGAAATCTGTTTTTTAAACAGATAGAGGAACAGGGAAGTTTAAATTAAGTAAGAAACGACGTGCCTCATTTCTGTTGAGTTCAATTGACTTTCAATAGCAGGTTCTAACCAAGTTAATATGTTTTCTGCTATAACTGAGCTGTCTGTAAAAGTCATAGTATTAAAACCTCAGAGTGGGTTAAATTAGTCCAATAATTTTAGCTGCAGTTCAGGTTTCGTCCTGCTTTATAAATGGAGCAGGAACCAGCTATAAATGACTCCTGCACCGTTACAGCCGTTAATAAATTAGCTAACTGACAGTGTTAGCTTAGTTTGACCGTTGGACGTTCGACTAGACAGCGTAAGACATAAAAGTCAGTTTATTTAAGGATTCGACGTTAAACTAGAAATATGCTGCATATTAATCATCAGATTAAGCCTCGTTTACCTTCCATTTTGCTCATTTGCCCACTTTGCCTTCAGACCGGATGCTGAGGGCCACAGATTATTGATCAGGAAGCACGAGCTCAAATGTCAACTGTCCGTTTCATTAGCCGTTGAATAACTCTAATGCAATTTTATGTTTCATCTTATTTTGGTCCATTTTGTGGCTGATTGCTTTGCTTCTTGAATAAGTGGAGACGTTTTCTATACCATTTATAAAACTCCTTTGTTGACATAATGCATTCAGAATTGCCTTCCATGTTTTTTATATATGTTAACCGTTTAACCTCATTGGTCTTTTTTATTTTTTTACGCCCAAACTTGTCCAGTTCCCTGTTCATGATTGGTAAGAATAATGTCCAGCATAAAAAAGAAATATCTATACATCCAGACATTAATACAGAAACCAATTTTTTGTTATATCAAAACAAATTCCTCATGGAAACAAATGCATACTTCCTGTAAAGTCAACCAGCTGAAACATAATGAAACACACTGGTTTTCATACCTTTACAATGTAGAGGTTTTAATGAAAAGCGAACAGCTGTGAGGAATTCAATTCAAGTTGGTGCAAATATACAATGCGAACAGACCAACAAAGCCCAAACTTCATCTATACACATCAAACCACAACAGTGCTCTATATACACTTACATGTTAGTGGAATACAAACACATTTTAAAAAAGTCCTATCAGGGCTGCCAAACAACAATATGTGCATTATCAGCACATGCATGGAGACGATCATGCAAGATGTGTCAATAGAAAAGAAATATAGAACTAAAATATCATTGTTAAATAAATCCTTCAATTTTCCTTCTTGAATTTACAATGATTTTTTGATCTTAGTGCATGTTTGATAGATTTATTTAGTCTCCGATTAGTAAAAACCTTCATGAATGGAAAATGAACACTATTTTTTAAATGTTGTTTTTTATATAACAGCAGGCTCTGGCTTTCTTCATCTCTTTTCCACTATTATCAAAGGAACCCTGTTTTCAAGTTTGAACAAATCACTTCTAACTTTCTCCAAGTCCAGTGTCCATTTAGCTCATAGTTTGAAAAAAAGATCACCTTCTTATGTTTTATAAAAGCAAATAACAGCATTAGTAATGAGACAAAATAAATAACAGTTTTCATTTTACATTAATGACCAAACAGAAATGAAGACGAAAAGGAAAAATAAAGAAATATTAAAAGAGGATCTTAGCAGAAAAAAATACACCAATAAATTAAGAAATAAATCTTCTTTTTGGAAATAAACTCCATCAGGATACGTGTTAATAATAGATTTGTTTATGTTGATGTGTACCATAAACATCCAATGCAGATGCTCATTCGTATGCCATCAAAACACTTCTGTACATCAGAGCACATTTCCCCAAAAAAGCGACAGATCTGTCCAAAACTCTCCAGCATGCCATCAGAGGTAGGAGGAGGGAATTACTGGCATCATATACAATATTACACTCGACTATGGACAGCTGTGAATGGGGAGCTAGAGCTTTTCCTCTGGTAGATCTAGGTAATCATTTCAGCCGTTTCTGATTTTGCCATGCAGAGTTAGTTCACACCAGCAGAGTGGGGGGGGGGGGGGGGAGGGGGGGGGGATATGAAAGAGGAGGCTATCTCTATCTAACACTAACTTCAGGCAAAGCTGGTTTCTGCATCATTACCACCCCTCACCCAAAAGCTGTGTTCTGTTCGGTTTCTTCTCAGCAGCGTGGTGAAAGCGGGTTTCTTTTGGCCAGCTGCTGGCTGTGGGGTGGATGATGGACACAGCCATCTGTGTTAGTAGGAAGCAGGCGACAGTAAGAGCAAGCAGAGTGGTCGGAACATAGGACAGTCGATCATGCCTCGATAATCTGTGGCAGAGTTTGACATGGAGTGGATAAATAGTGCCCCTTCTCAGTTGCATTTAATGGGACGCTGCGTGTTCTCCGCAGCAAAACCAACCAGCTGAGAAAGCCGAGCTCTGTGTGTGTTTGTGTGTGTGAGGGATGGCAGAGGGACCAAATAGGGGGAAAGTTAAACAAGGCAGAGAGAGAAAAGGGGCATGTTAGCAACACTTCACGATGGGTGGAGACGTCCTCCGTCTCCCCTCAGTCGCGGGAGCGCCCCACGATAGCCAGGATGTAGAGGAAGATGTTGATGATGTCGGTGTAGAGGTTCAGGGCAGCAAAGATGTACTCCTCCGGACTGAGGGCCAGCTTCTTGTTGCCCAGGAGAAGCTGGGTGTCAACAGCCAAAAACTGCAGAGGAAAAGGTGAAATAAGTGGATAAGGACCCGCCTCTCCACAGATCTCCTATCCTAACTCCTCCCCAGACCTCTGGACCCTTTACTCCTCTTTCTGTTCTTCCCTTTACTCCTCTTTCTGTTCTTCCCTCTACTCCTCTTTCTGTTCTTCCCTTTTTCTCTTTACTTTCTCCACTGACTCTGACTGGGGATTTTCCTCTAGAGAACTTACTGTCATATTGATTATAACTGTAAAATAGTGTCTACTTTGTAAGTCGCTTTGGATAAAAACGTTTAAATGCAGAAAGATAAACATTAGTCATTTCATCACCTTAATATTTGGCATCCAAGGAGATTAAAAGAGAAATGCTTTAATACCTATTTAGCCTTTTTATCGTTAAAAAAAAGTGTATTTTCTTCCTCACTTCAGTTTTGTTTACACTGACATTTAGCTCCTTTACTAAAGTTCTCTGGACGGGGTTAAAACCTTCGTCTGTGGACGATGTTCATGGGAAAATCAAAGATGAATTAACCTAAAACTAGAGATTACTTGTGAGCAAACCATGCATCACGATATTGCCAGAGAACAGGCATAGAGCCGGAGATGCTAACGTCATGAGGAAGTGAAGCTCTGTCCGGTTTAAACGGGAGCTGTGCACTTACGCAGGTGAAGAGCAGAGCTCCCAGCGAGGCGTAGACGATGTGCAGGATCTTGTGGCGTATGAAGATGCAGAGAATGGAGAAGAGCACCAGCACGATCAGGCACACGAAGAGCACGCCCCGACAGGAAGTGAAGTCATACTTGCTCTGCGTGGGAGCACAGCGTCATCAGAAAGGTTAAAAACCCACAGTCTAAGATTAACCCTGTAATGCCAAATGTATCATATTTGATTCATACGGTTTCTGAAATGTTTTGCATCTGACACCTTTTGCATGATTTAATGGTAAAAACTTTGCTCAAAATCCTATTATACACAATCAGATACACCTGATAACAGGGGGCATAAAGGCTACACAAAAAATAATCTTGACTTATCGCATAGTAATAAATCATTAATATCAAAAATGTATGTCTGTTTTTTCTTTTTACATATTTTGTTAAAAGGCCAAATAAAGACTTCAAACCAAAAAAAAGTAATTTTCTGTTTTGTTTTATTCTTGGATCAGGCTTTAAAGGGTTAAAGACCCTTAAGGGGGACATCTGTGTGTGTGTGTGTCTGTCTGTGTGTGTGTGTGTGTGTGTGTGTGTGTGTGTGTGTGTGTGTGTATAAACAGTGAAACAGCAGGTCTGGGATGGTGCTGACCTGCAGGGAGAAGAGGACCACAGTGAAGCAGACGACGGCCGTGATGCCCACGGCCATGATGACCGTCTCTGTGTCATAAAAGCTGGCGATCATTCCCACCATGTAGGAGAGGCTCAGGGTCAGGATGGACTGAAAGACAAAAAACAAAACTAATGTGAGCTCATACCTCTAAACCCAATCTCTGAATGTTACACATTGTGAGCTGTGAACTGACAGCTGATTTACATCTGGACGCCTCCAATCTGTTAGCAGGGCAAAACTGTTTTATGCTTTTAAATTTTAAATCAAAATTTGGGGGGCCCCTGAATCCCCATTTCTATATGTGTGTACAGTAGAACCTCTACTTACGATGCCTAAACATACAAATTTTTCAACATACAAAGTGGAATTCGATGAAATATTCAACTCAACACCCAAAGTAAATTATGACGAAGTCATAGAAAAAAAAATATATATATATAAAGATTAAGTAAAATAAATAAGCCAAGTTGGTTTAAAGTTCATGTAGTGCAGTGTTTTTCAACCTTTTTTGAGCCAAGGTACATTTTTTCATTGAAAAAATCTCGAGGCACACCACCAACCAAAATTTCAAACAAATCTGTAGTTGCGTAACACTATAGTTATTCTTATTTTATTCTGATCTTATCTTAAGTGTCTCGAATAGGAATCAAATAAACACAAAAATGTATTTTTATCATATTTCATATTTCTTCTTTCAAATTGCTCTTAACATGTCCACTTCAATATACAAAATTATATACAAAATCTAGTCATAAGGAATTATTACATGATCACGCCACCAGTTACTAAAACAGCACAGACACTCAAAAATTGCATATTATTTGCAGAAAATTAATTCCTTATCAAAATTTTTTTTAGACCAATGAGGTGAAATGAGATGATTTTCTACGGCACACCTGACCATCACTCGCGGCACACTAGTGTACCGAGGCACAGTGGTTGAAAAACACTGATGTAGTGAATGTCAGAGTAAGTTATGGTACGTCCTGTATCTCAGTCTCCACCTCTACCTCCGTTTGTGCCAATAAAATCCCCTTTTTATTGATTATTTCTTTATAATTCATTTCTTTTGACATCCCTCTTATATCATGGATTTGTTTTATTGCGATGTGTAATTATCTGCAGTATTTATCAAGGAGTTATCGTAGGTTTTTGGAACGAATTATCGGAATTACAATGTATTCTGATTGGAAAATTTGAAACAACATACCAATATTTTAACACATGAAGTAGGTCCCGGAACAAATTAAATCCTTATGTAGAGATTCTACTATATATGAACTTTTCAATGTGTATATTTGATCTGTTTAATGCCCATAATCTGGAGTGGATATTGGTTCTCGTTCTGATTTAGTCTATATTTGCTTGTAATCCTGAGATGGACATAATATGTACACCTGAACAGAGAATGTTGTCACTGAAAATCTAATAGAAAATATGAATAATATATCTGGAAATATCTGTAAATGTTCCTACCAGGGCGACCAGATTCCAGGGGTGCTTGCGTCGGAAGTCTCCGCAGCAGCTCAGGACGATCAGAGACACGAAGAACACGGCGTACGACACGTAGTACGTCCAGGGGTTACGCCGCACAAAGTACTTGGCATCGTCCACGAAGGTGAAGACGGCAACGAAGGAGAAAGTGACGACGAGCTGCACCGTGAGAACCATGAAGACCTTTGGGAGGGAAGAAAAGGAGCCATTTTGAGTCCTGGTGGCATCGGGGATTTTAGCCGTCTTAACTTTTTCCCCTCCTGAACACAGATCGACCTACTTTTCTGATGAAAGCTTGTCGGATGCTCTTGTCCTCAAAGCCAGAGGTCCCAAATTCCTCGTTGTCGTAGTAGGATGGGGGCCCGTCACCGTGGTAACCAGGGCTGCTTGCAGGGGCTCCTGATGACAATCACAGGGCGACGGTGTTAAACGATAAACGAAGCAGCAGGAAAATCGAGCGATTTTGTGAGTTTTTGTGGTTTTCAGTGGACAGAGTGGAGCCTCGCCGACTGCCTGTTCACCTGAAATGCTCCACTGCTCAAACCCAAAGGGGTTTTAACCGATTAGAAACATAATGGCAGTAAGAAAAATAAAGAAAAAGATAAATACAGTGAACGCTCGCTATATCGCGGTTCACCTTTCACGGTCTCGGTGCTTCACGGATTTGCATCATGCATTGTGTTCTGCATTCTGATTGGCTAAACAGCTTCTTCTCTACCTGCTTGCTAAATTTAAGTTTGCCAATTCTCTTGTAATTTCAAGTTTCTCTAAAACCTGTAATGTCAACAAAACGTTCTGCACGGACAAAGGCCCTTGCGGTCGGGCCCGAAAGGCAGATGAAGAAGCTAACTATGGCAGGAAAAGTCAAACCTCTGGACATGCTAAAGGAAGGTAGAAGCTATGCGGCTTTAGGTCACCATTACGGAATTAATGAATCTTCCGTTCGGCCCATAAAGAAGGAGGAAAATAACAGGACGACAGCAGCAATTAGTTTTAATAAGGATTGGCCGGCGCTGATCTCCGCAATTTGAAGCCTTCAGTTTGCATTGATGATTAAAATTATTATTTTACAGTACAGTAGTTATTTATAAAATATAAAACGTTTATACTGTACTTTTAATTGTTAAACAAATGTTTGGGCCTGTAACAAGGTTTTGTTCTTTGGTTTAAATGTATTATGGAGCATTTCATTGTTTAATAATTTGTTTAATAAAATTTAGTAGCTAAAATGTGGGTCTCATTTGTAATGAGACGCCTCGTTCTGTTGTTGTTCCTCGAGCCCATTTATTAATTCAGCCAGTGGAGAGTTGTGGTGTAATTCTGATGTGTGGAGCATCTCACCTATGGGGTCACCGGGGAACCCCGGCTGTCCCTGCTGGTAGGGCCCCTGAGGGTAGGGCTGCTGGGGGTAGGGCATCTGGGGGTACGGCATCTGGGGGTAGGGGCCGGGAGCAAAACCCGGACCGGCCTGGGGGAAGCCGGGCTGTCCGTAGCCGGTTGCCGGGGGATACGGGCCTCCGGGGGCCTGGCTGTAGTTGGGGGGGGGGCATGCCGAAGCCTGGCTGAGGGGGCCCGTAGACACTGTTGTGGAGCGGGTTGTTCTCCCCCATTACGGGGTATCCACTTTTGTCGTGGGACATGTTGTGGAAGACGGCGGACTGCTTCAAAAACCTATGAAAAAAAAAGCAGAATTATACAATATTTATTGCTTCAGTCTATCTGTAATAACACTAAACGTGTGTGAATTTCAGCTTTTGCATTGGAGGCATCCCAAACTTCCATGAAGAAAGCAGAAAAGAAATAAGAATAAGAAAACATTTAGCGTAAACTGGCAAAGAATCTGCCTGATTAAAAGGGTGATAGTTGTTTTTTTTTAAATGCTGCATTAATAGATGACAAGGAGTCAACAGGATAAGGTTGTTTGTTCACAAACACACAGTCTATGAAATGTCTTTTCAAATTTCGATTCTTTAGAAAAAAGCAAGCAGGATATCTGATTTTTGTGAATGATTGAGATCTCAGAGGACAGCTCCACTGCAGGCAGTCGATGCTACACGGTCAATAATCTGTCACTCATTGGCTGTTGGCAGCCTGGCAGCTCTCAAAGGTGAGAGAGAGATAAGACACTTTTATAGTAAAAACATATGCAGATGTACAACAATCTGCTTCAGAAGGGATGGAAACAAACAGCATTTACTTTTAGATGCTTTTCACTTTTTAACCTTTGAAGAGAGGATCACATCATATATCTGACAGAAGTATGAATGAACATGACAGAAAATATTCTTAAAGACAGAAAAAAAAGTTCAAATTCAAATACCTTTTATTTCTATATTATATATTATATTAGTTATACTACAAATACTACTTATTTGTAGAGTCAACAGTAGCTGGGATTGAAAGGGAAAATCCATTCGTTTTATTTTCCAGGAAGCACTTCTAGTCGTTTGAGACTTTTTATTTTCAAAACAAGAGCAAACAGAGGGAGAGTCCACATTAAAGAGGGGCCCTGAACGTCCCACAAAGGCTCATCCTGCTACAGGAGTGGATGCAAACACACCTTCTACACACACAGTTACGCTTTCACATCCTTTACAAAAGCGTCCCAATGAGCAGGAACATTCATTCAGGAGGAAAAAGGGGCACTGACAGTCTCGTTTACGTCCTAATCTCCTTCCCCTCCTTCTTTCCAGGCCAGACTGAATTACCAGCGAGCGTTATGCAACTGTGCTCCTTTCTGCTCTCGCCAAAGCGTTTGGACCCCGGAGAATCCCGTCTGGGCAGCAGCTGGACGGCGCAGTGAGGCACTGCAGCTGGCTGCTGAGATCCTGAAATATCCCGATCAGTGTCTAAAGGAGGCAAAGACTTATGTGGGCAAAGATGGCCCTGTTAGAGGGGAAAGATCTCCATGCAAAGTGTCCCTTTGCAGCTCAATGTCTTGAAGCATCAATGTTGGTTTACATAAAACAGATTAATTTCTGTAAAGACCAACTCAAATTGACTGAGTCATTGCTCCTATCTATTAGGTCTATATGTAAAAATCCAGTGTATCTTATTATATCATTGATTTCACATTTTAATGTTAAAATCCGCCATGTCTCCATCATTTCTTTCTAATTGTAAGTGACCCTGTGTAATGAAAAGATAAAACACTTTTCCAGTGTTTAAAAAAAGACTTTAAAAAAATAAAATAAAAAACATACAACTCAAGAGTCACACAGTGATAATACGACATGCAGTCCAGCCATGTGACCTCCTCCCAGTCCAACGTCCACGGTCGGCAATTCAGTTGTCACGAGTTTTCACGAGTCATTTTGACTGGTTTATAAATCATAAATGTCACAGTAATGTTGGGGAAGAATAAATAATGCCACACATCTCAGCACGCATCGAGAAAAAATAAACCTTTGTTGGTGTTGCTGGATGTTTTCTTAGACATGATATTAGAAAAAAAAAAAAAAATTTTAAGTATGATCAAGCTTGTCAAACAAAATTGATTTAGTAGTTGTTGGATTTCTTGTTTCGTCACATAAAATGAATTAATCTTATAAGTGAAATCATGTCTAGGAGGTTTCACATGCAGAACCTCTGACTAATCTGGGACTAATCTTTAATTACGTACTATGAATTAATTAAATATCACACAAACCACGTGTACTTTTGCATTGACGTAACAGAAGTAACTTTACAGCGTGCTTTTTCTAAAATGCTGCATCCATATCTACTTTTTCATATCATTTACCATCTGTGTGATGGATGGCCTTATGCAACCTAAAGTAACACAGAACAGTACAAAGAATAAGATACTAAAACCATTAAAGAGCTACATCAGAGCAGAAGGCACGGCCCTTTGGACACTTTGTTCAGACGTATAAATGGCGGCGTTATTAGAAAAGCACCTGAACTCATCAAAACAGAAGCATCTTAAATAGGAAAGCAGAGGGTTTATCAAAAATAGATAAGTGACATGAGAGGAATTTAACTAAAAGGTAGTGAAATTATGTGCCCTCTCTGAGCTGAAATTGGCAAAACCACATCAGCTTCACTTCCATGTCTGAACAGACGTATAAATTACCCCCCGCCCTTAATTTTTCTTGGGTTTCTGTTCTTTAGGACTCAGATCAACACACAGTTCATACAGCTTTGCGAGTATTACGTGGGAGACTTCAAATCCTCTTAGGGGAGACGCTGTGGACAGAAGCGGAGCCACTATCCCCGGCCTCTGCTGATGGTTATCACTGGGGGAATTAGGTTAAAGGGACAGATTCAGTGAGCTAGTCAATACTGCCAGAAAGCCTAGTTAACACAATCAGGACGGCACAATACCTCAACTGCCCAATGGACAACATGCTAACTGCATGCCTGGCTGATCAGGAAATGCACAGACAAAACAGGACTGACCACAAAAAATGTCTAAAAGAAAATGTAAAAAAAACTGGGGGATATTTGCCACGAGTTTTATAGCCAAAATGTCAGAGCCTCTTAATGTCCCAATACAAACTTACTGATTTCAAATCTATCCAGAATCCAAACTAATAATCTGACTATTTGAAAGTATAAAACAGTATTTTCTCAAACCTTCAATCAACTTCACCGGCTTATAAAATCAAAACAAAAAGTCTGTTTATGATCACATGACGGAAAAAGGGGTGATGCTTAGTTTAGAAAAGTTGTAAACTTTTCTTCTGATCATGGAGTAAAAATTAAACAGACAAACTGTGTGTACAGTTCTAACATTTGCTGTCAAAACTTTAAACAGTTGATCCGATAACAGGGCAGACTGGTTCCTCCATGGCTGTGCTTTCACTTTTCCGGGCAGCCAGCGAGGCAGTCAGGTGACTTATCTTGACTTATTATATGTTTCGCTTGATCATAGAAACATTAACATTACAGTTTATACTAAATACCTACTTAGTTTCTTACAAAATGAAAAAAGATTGACTGTTGGGAAAAGAGCTCATTATTTAGTTATAGTTAAAGCCAACTATCCCATCCGTATCTTATGTAAGCGGTCAGCAGGAGCACATATAGTGTGTTTGCATTAATAAACAGAACCGGAGGATAGAAAAATAAGACATGGGTACAACCAGTAACAACTACAGCCTTTAAGAGAGGGCACTTCTTAGCTCCACATGACATCAGAACGCGGTCTGACAACAGGGCGCGCGTAACAGGATCAACATTGTCCTTTAGTTTCACTTCAGGCAGACAGACCTAACAAACACAACTTAAGTCGATATCAGAAGTCAACAACTTAGATGTTGGATGGTTGAAAGAGACAGATGGAGAAGAGTCAGTCAAAACGTAAAAATATATCAGAAGACTTTACAGATAATATTATTTCTTATGTAAAGTTGTTATGTAAAGAGATTATGCACAGAAGTATATATATTTCCTTAAAAAAATCATTGTTCATCATTTTTGTTGAACTTGCACTATATCAGTTGTGATAACTCACTTTAAACACCAACATATATTACATTTTAATTTATATCAATGTGAAATTTACATATAAAGAAATATGTTTAAGTATTTTTGCAGTGAATATGTAGGTTTCACAAGAAATTAATCATGTATCCGCTCTCACTAGTTTTAAAGAGTATAAATAAGAGTATTTCAGCTCTTCTTTCATAGACAATAACAGCATTGACAAGTAGTTTAGCGGAACATTTCTATGGTGTCCCATCAGCACTAATCGTGTGCTGGACTGCACAACCAGGAAAACGGCTTTAAAAACGCTGCCCATTCATTTTCCATGAAAATGAATATGTAAAACACAGGCACAACACGACCGTAGCTCTTTAGAAAAGCCAAAGAAACAGAAGTGTCTGTTACAGATGGAATAATGGTGCGTTCAGACGTAGTGCTGCCCCGGGACAAATTAAATGCTCTTATCTTAAACCATTTGCAACTCAGTGGCTATATAGAGAATAGTCTACCATAAAGTGGCTTTCAACAAAAGGATGCAGACAGAAAAACGCCTAGACCTGGCCTACAGTCTGGACTGGGACCCACCAGAGATGGCCTACAGTCTAGACCCCTACCCACTAGATTTGGCCTATAGTTTTGACTGGGACCCACCAGAGCTGGCCTATAGTTTGGGCTA